TGGCCCACGACGAACGACCACAGCGACGCCAGACTGTCGATGCGGCCCGGAAACCGACACGATACGCCGTACACGCCGATCCTCGTAGTCGGCGCATCACGCCCCTTGACAGACACGCTGACCGGCATCATCGTGCTCGGCTGGTGGCCCTGGCCACCGCCATCGCTGCTCACCAGCTGGCTGATGTAGCCGACGATGGCGTCCAGAGTGGGATAGTCGTACCTGACACAGACACAGACATACACGACAGACAGCACTGTGCATAAGCTATGCAGCTAGGCACCATGGTACGAATGCCATCGCACAGTCAGGCATGCAAATCGCGGCCAGGAGATATCCGCGTTGCCTGCTCTGTCCTGCGTGTGCACTTGGCTTACACGAGAGTGCTCGGGAGCTTGATTGGAATCGACTCAGGGAGCAGGGACTGCAGGGCGTCCGACAGTGCCGCTCGGAAGTCGAGTGTGCTCAGTGAGTCCATGCCGAGGTCCGCCAGGGGCGTGTGGGTGGCGATCGAATCGTTGTCACCAGCAGCCGCGGCGGGCAGGACCCTGCGGGCCTCGTGCGAGACGACCGACAAGACCTCCTCCCGAAGCTCCGATGGTGACAGCCCCGACCACCGCGCTGCCAATGTCAAGCCGCCACTCCCTTGGCGCCCATCGTCCCGCTCGGTGACGGCCTCTCGGTCGACGAGCCTCTCGAAGACGACAGCCGTGTTGTTGTTGGGCTTCTGCCGGTCCTGCTGCGCCGACCACGACAGATACACACTCAGGTCCACTGGCATCAGGGCCAGCACCGGCTTGGCATCCCGCCAGCGACACAAACACAGGCCCAAGACGCGAAGCGCCAGATCGTTGGTGAAGGCCCCCATGCCGACACGCGAAAGGCGCTGGAGCACGCCCTTTGCCATGCCCTGCTCCGCCCATGGGCCCCACTGGATGGACTGCGCTGGCAGACCCAGTGCTCGACGGTGGTGGGCTAACGCGTCCAAACAGCTGTTGGCTGCGCAGTAATTGGCTTGACCTCTGTTGCCAAACAGACCAGATGTGGACGAGAAGAGCGTAAAGACAGATAGGGGCAACTCAAAGGACGAGCTGAGTTTGTGCAGGTGCCACGCGGCATCGACCTGATGACACGAGACAGGTAAACGGGGCAGGCAGCATGTGTGCGTGTGTGGGCATCCCCTATGTGTGTGTGTCGCGGCCTGTGTGTGCGTGCGCAACTTGATGTATTCGCTACCTTGGGTCGCATGACTCGCTGCAGCGACTCGAGGTCTTGCCTTGCTATGATTCGATCGTCCAGCGCGCCCGCCAGGTGGAATATGCCTGTGATGTGATGGCCCCCACGTATGAGTCGCTCCACGAGCCCCTGGCACTCGTCCCTCGAGGCCACGTCGCACTTGAGAGGCAGCACCGCCCCAGCCGCCCCTCTCTCGTCGTGTGTCTGGTTCTTGTCTTGTCGGCTGGTCCCCCCCGTGTGGTTCTTCTCTTCGTGTGTGTCAGTGACAACGAGGTGGCGGATTGCCTGCCACGCCTCAGTGGTCTCGTCAGCGGCTGACGGCTGTCCCCTTCGTGACACCAAGACGAGCCTCTGCGCTCCTCGCTCCACCAGCCAGCGAGCCAAGACGAGCCCCAGCCCTCCCAGCCCTCCAGTCACAACCACCGTCCCTGGAGCCTCAGCGCTGACACTCTCTCGGTCCCCCTCCAACCAACGTCGACCGGACACCACCCGACTGTTGAGCATCGCTTGCACCGTCCTCATCATGCCCTCGTCATCTTCGCCTTCGTGCGTCTGGTCGTCGTCGGCACCCAACCCAGCTATCTCCCACCCGTCAGGCTGGTGCAGCAGGGTCTCGGTCTCTTGGTCGCACGTGACCAGCCGGCTGACATAAGTCTGGCCGCCGCGGACGGCCATCTCAGGCTCGACCAGCTCCCTCGCCCCTCGAAGCAGCATCGCGCCGCATCGGCTCAGCAGGCGGCCAAGCTGATCAACCAAGTCGCCGCCACTACCGCTGGGACTGCTGCTGCTGGTAGTCTGATGGTCTGCGTCGAGGTCGACGAGCGTCAGTGAGAGGTCCTTGGCGCACTCCATTCGCACCGACCGCCCG